CTCAATTTTATCAAAGTGTTCTTAAATCGTGTGCTTTTTTTTAAGTTGCACAGATCAAAAACAAATAACTCTCTGCATTAGCTTTTAGAAGAATCCTTAGTCTGCGGAGCAAGATTAGATGTCCGCGACAACACCGTTCCGGGCCTTTCTGAGGTGTTGTCTAGGTCCGGGACGGTGACTCTGCAGCAGCCGATTCGGGTGTCTGGATTTTAAATGGCTGTCCTTTTTGCAAGTTGTATTTTTCATGTTTTTATAGATTGTGTATGGTTAGTCGGTTTTTAAAATCTTGTATCAAATTTTTTTATGCTTTTTAGTGTGGTTTTTACCAATTTCTGTCCATCACAATAAAACCACTAGTTTTAAATCCCGGATTTTAAATTATTTAATTTCTGAAGCAAAAATGGCTATTTATATAACTCGACGTGACAAAATGCAGGCTGGACCTCAGTTGAGCGCAGTGGATCTGTGGAAGATCAACTTAAAAGCAAGATTGAAGTTAAGAGTTTTGTTTCCACAGAGCCACTGGGAATTTAAAGGAGTTTTTAGAACTACGGGGTTTTAAAAATGTAATGTGCACTATTTCTGATCAGAAGGAACTAAATTATAAGGAATTATTATTGTAAATATTTACTTGTTTAGTACCTCTAATCTGAGAATGTAATGTTTTTAATTGATCTATTGTAGAATAAATATTTTGGTAAAATCTTCTCCTTTACCTTCTTCTTCTCCTTGTTCTTCTTCTCCTCTTTCTCCTTCCTGCCACTTACTGAAATGGAGTTTAGTTCATGATGGTCCATCACTCTCTCTATATATACATGCAAAAATAGTACAAGATTAATATATCCTATATATATATATATATATATATATATATATATATATATATATATATATATATTATATATATATATATATATAATCCATCTATATTGTACACACATTGACAAACATACCTACTATAATCAAATTATGTTAAATAAATTAGTTAAAAAATTGATCAACTATTTGCATATGTTTACTCCCCAAATTCTTTCTCAAAATATCTACTAAATTAATTTTTTCCTTAATACTTTTAAACTCTTTCCTCATACAACTTCTCTGTTATTCATATTTATGACATTCTAATATTACATGTTCTTTTGTTTCATATTTTCCACAATACTCACATTTATCAGTAGCATGCTTTTCAATTCTAAAAAGTGTATAATTAAGTCCTTTATGCCCAAATCTTACCCTTGTTATCACTCTTTCCTCCTTTCTTTTTCTTCTTCCCTTTCTTCTTTCTCTGACCATCTTCTGAATTTTATAAAACTATCTTCCTGTTTATCCTTCATCGCACCTTTTTTTTTGCCATTTTTCCAGCAGTTTTTCTTTAACAATACTCTTTCCTTCATCCTTACTTGTGTTAACTGTGATACAATATGTGCTGGAACCCATACAAAGATAACTATCAAACCCATATTTTGTATTCTAAATAATGTATGAAATATTTCTAATAAAATATCCATCCTACTATCTGATTGATTATATTTTAAGCTTAATAATGCAGAGTTTAATCTGAACAAATGATTGTTTTTAATGGTTTAGGTCTTCTACCGGTTGTAAAGCTAATAATATTGCCATCATTTCTCCTGTGTACACTGATAATCTGTCTGTAACTCGTTTTCTTATTTTTATATTGAATTCTGGTACTAAAAAAGCTATTCTTACTTTTCCAGTTATTTTTGATGCATCTGAATAAATTTGAATATAATGACAATAATTGTTTAAATGTACCTATTACTGAATAACTATCAATGATGAAATATTTATCTTGTTTCTTTTCCATTATTGTCATATTTACTAATACTTCTGGTAGAATCCATGGTGGTATTACTGATATTAGTGTTGTATGACTAATTTCTAAACTATTCATATAAAATTATTTTATTTTATTTTCAATTGTCCATTTAAGACTCCTCATTTCTTTCTTTTCTTTTTCCCAACATGGATTTAAAATTTCCCTAGTTGGATGATCCAAGTTATTGCTTTGTAAATTTCATTAGTAATTTATTTCCAATTTTATTCTTCTTAAATCTAACAGCATTTCTCCCATTTCTACTTCTATTGCTGCTCTTGGTGTGGTTTTAAATGCTCCAGTACATAATCTTAATGCCTGATGTTGTATAATGTCTGATTTAGTCAAATATATTTTAGCTGCCAAACCGTAAACAATACAACCAAAATCTATGTTAGCTCTTATCATACCTGTATAAATCCATTTTAATGTTTGCCTATCTGCTCCCCAGTCACTGCCAGCCAAGCACCTCAATATATTTAAGATTTTCTTACATTTATCTACAACTTTTTGAATATGTACATTCCATTTTAGTTTTTCATGAAATCACAATCCTAAAAATTTTCTACACTTTACTTGTTCTAATTCTTGGATATATAATTTAAATTTTACTTCCTTGGTTATTTTTTTCTGAGTAAATATCATTACTTTCATTTTTTCAACTGAAAACTTAAATCCCCATTGCATTGCGCATATCTCTCTTTCAATAACATCTTAAAATGTTTTAACAATAATTTTTTTCCCTCTTTTCCAAACAGCTCCATCATCTGCAAAAAGTGAACATCCCACTTCTTTTCCAGTACCTTTAAAAATATCATTTATCATAATCGAGAACAGTAACGGACTTATTATACTTCACCGATTCTAACTTGTATTTTTCTATTTATTAAAAAGTCTTTAACCCATTTAAGTATCTTTCCTTTAATGCCCAACATATATATTTTTTAATTAATAATCCCTCTACCCAAATCATGTCATATGCTTTATATAAAAAAAATACTGCCACTATACTTTCTTTATTTACTTGCGCCTTTCTAATTTCATGCTCTAAACATAATGTTGGATCATTAGTATTCCTCCCTCTTCGAAATCCACTTTGATATTTTGCTACATATCCTGTACTATTTAAATAATTTACTAGCCTATTGTTAATCATTTTTTCCATTATTTTACATAGGTTTGACGTTAAAGCTATTGGTCTATAATTTTCTGGTTTTGATTTATCTTTTTCTGGTATTGGTACTATAATGAATTCCTTCCAGTTCATCTGTAATTTTCCCTCTTCCCAAATTTTATTATATAATTGCAATATCATTTTCACTGAGCTGACTTATCATTCTATACCATATTTTATCTTTACCTGGTGCTGTATTTTTAAATTTCTTAAATGTGGAATTCAATTCAGCTTTTGCAAACTCAACATTTAACAAGTTATTTGTTTCTTCATCATTCTGTAACACATATCTATATTTGAGTTTTGTATTTTCTCTTCCTCTTCTTCCCTCTTCACTAATATCATTTGTGAAGAGGGAATTTTACTAAATGTTCTTGCCAATATTTCAACTTTATCTTCATCTTTAATTGTATTTATATTGCCTACTTTTTATACAGGATATTCAAATTGTCTTTTCATGCCATTCATTCTTCTAATTATTGTACAATTTTTTCCCCCATTTTTGGTTCCTTCCTTATTGTACTCCAATATTCTCTTTTTCCATTCTTAATTATTCTACTTACCATTTCTTCTTCTGAACTACTTAATTCAAGTTCTCGTTCATTTCCTTGAACATCACCACTTCCCTCTCCGTCGTCCATTTTATTTCTCCCACTTTCATGTCTTCAAAAAGCCGCGGTGAACTCGAAGCTTGACCAAAACCTCCAAACCTTCATTTCCCCACTAATTTCTCATGGCTGACATTTTATTTTTATTTTTGAGGTTTTATTGTAAATTTTCTACCTTAAATAAAAAGTAGAAAGTCTGTTTTGTGAAAAGATTTCAGACTAGCACAAATTACACTCGTCTTTTCAACCCCCCAAAACCACATCTTCCTCATCTCCTATCTCCATTACCAACCGAACCGAACCGAACAATTAACCTACCAGTTTATAAATTCGCCTTTTCCAATTCCGACATGAGTTTTATTTTCTCTCCGTCCCTCCACGTCTCGCCTGAACTTTTCCTCCTCGAGTTCAGGAGCTCGCAGAGGCCGCCATCCTCTTTCAGCTGAAGTTCACGAACCTTCTTCTTCTCTTTGATCTTCTCTTTGATCTTCTCTTTGATCTTCTCCTTCGTCTTCTTCTCTGTCTTCTCCTTCTCATTCTCCTACTTCTTCTTCTACGTTTTTTTTTTAAATAAACAAACTCAACCAATACGTTACTAATGAATAGGTAATAACAAGAAAAAAAATATCACAACTCCTATTAACAACTCTAATAGAAAATAAAGGCTAGAAGGAGAGATAAAAAATTACAAAACAAAAAAAAAAAAAAAAAAAATGAGGTAAAAAAAAAAAAAGTTATTGAGAAGAGGGGGCGAACTGAAATTCTTCCATTAAATCACACAATTTATTTGCATTTAAGGTCAATCTGAGAAAGGAGGAAATTTCGTTTTTGAGAGCAGAGATTGAAAGGGGGCATTTTGCATAACGGCATTTATGGATATAATATTTGGTTATAATCATCAAAACATTAAGAATTCCAATTTCTTTTTCTTTTTTTACATAAACCAAACTGAATTATTTGTAAGGAATTAAAGTCCACATTTATAGATCTAGAGGATAAAAAGTTACAAAGTTTATCTCAGGTTTCTTACTTCTTTACATTCATAAAACAAATGTTTAGTAGTTTCCAATTGAGTTGTACAAAAACTACAATTCCCAACATTGAATTTATCGTCAGCTTCTTCTTCATCTCCTCCTTTTCGTCACTTCCTCCTGAAAGCTGCGCTGTTTGGTTGCGTAAACTGACAATTTTCTTCCGTCTACAAAATAAAACCAACATGCTTTAAAAATGTATGAATGTGTGACATTATCAGGAAGTTTGTGCCAATTTTCTGCAGTTAACGCCGCTTAAGTTTTAGTTTAAACAGATAAATGTCGGAGTTACTTTTCTGCAACGCGAGTGTTGATTTTATTTTGAAATCGTTGACCGGAAACAGGTGAAAGTCGCGCTGGCTTTGGGTCAGTCAGCCTGTCAGTGTTTGTGTTGTTTGAGCTTTAATGAGGATGTCAGTGTGAAAATAGTCGGTTCGGGTTTATTCGGGACAACTGAGAGTCAGGAGGAAACATCTGCAAGCCCCAAAACAGGTACAAGAACATTTCTGACTGTTTTCGTTCAGCGACGAAGTAAACACGTTAATCAGCTTTAAAGCTGTTGGTTGAAGTGCAGCGTGTAGTCAAAGTAAAATTGCGTTTAATGTGTTATTGTGCTTTGTTTTGATTGGGATGGAGTTTCACCAATTCCTTTTGAACGCTGACTGCAGTGTGTTGCGTTTTCATGTAGTTCAGTTTGAGCAGCGACTTCCTGGTTATTCACGTTTCCTGTCCATTTGTAAAGTGCCTTGCAAAAGTATCACATAACAAAGCAGTACTTGCAGAGGAGCTCCAGCTCTTCAATGGAGATTAAATGTGTCCAGTTTTGCTACAAAATTTACAATGGGAGCAAGTTTGGACTTTGACTGGGCCATTCCAGCAAATAAATGTTTAGGGATATGTTTCTCAGTACTTCCCAAGTTTTTCTCTTGCTTTATTTCCTCCTATCTTCCCATCAACTGGAGAAAAGCAAACACCGGCATTTGTTACCATGAGGACGGTGTGTTTCTGGACTTTGTGTTGGTCGGTGTCCTGCACTTTAAACCGTGTCTTAAGGAAAGCTTTAAATTATACAGAAAGTCTGTCTGTTTAGCTCATACCAGAAGTTTGTTTCAAAAATCCCACAGCATCACCAATCCTCCACCGTCCTCATGACCAGGTAGGAGACTGTCGTTCAAAGTTCCGTAGGTTTTAGAAACTAATTTTGCTTTGTGAAAGTTTTATTTTCTCCACCCATCAAATATAGTTGGGATTCACGCAGATGTGTTGTTTTAAACCTATAATGTTAGATTACAGTGTCAACAGCAGTTTGACAGTAAAGTGATTCGATTAAACCAAATGAGAGCGGTGTGAGGAAGCGGCAGTTTCTGGCTGCTCTTCAGTTGGATCATAACTGTTCTTTCATTTAATCCAATTTTCTTCAAATTTGCACCAATTTAAGCGATCCTGGCTGCTTGACAAATAAAGCTTACTGCTGTCAAACAGGTTCGTAGCAAGAGGAAGTGGCATTTTGTTTTACCTGACACATTTTTGGTTGAGTTTCAGTTCCTTGCACCTTTTCATTGGGTTTAGCTTGTGATGGGATGTGAAATTGTTTCATCACTATCTACATTTTTGGCCGTTTCTTTTGTCTCTGCACTTTCAGGATGTTTCCCAGAATGCTGTTGGCCTTCCTGTGGGGCGTCAGCGCTGTGGCCGCTGAAAACGACACAACCCAGCAGACTCTGCCGCTGCTGCTGGTGTCATTTGACGGCTTCCGGGCCGACTACCTGGACAGGTTCCCCATGCCGAACCTGAAGCTCCTGTACAGCCAAGGGGTCCTGGTGGACCAACTCACCAACGTCTTCATCACCAAAACATTTCCCAACCACTACAGCCTGGTAAGCAAGTTTTAGCAAGTACTTTTTCACAGATTTTATACCATCTTTGTAATTGTTCAGTTGTAATGTCACAAAATCTGACAATATCAGCATCTTTGGTGTCAAAATAAGGATGAATTACCTCTCCAGGTGACCGGGCTGTATGCTGAGTCTCATGGGATCCTGGCCAGTAGCATGTATGACCCCATCAGCCACAAGCACTTCACCCTCCAGAATGACAGCGACCCCATGTGGTGGAGCGCCGCTCAGCCCCTCTGGCTCACAGCGAAGGACTCCGGCTACAAGACGGCGTCCGCCATGTGGCCCGGCTCCGACGTGACCAACCGCACGCCTACGCACTTCTTCTCGTACAACCCAGCAGTGACGTTTCAGCAGCGCCTGGGGAATGTGACAAAATGGATATTAGGAGACGGGAAGGTGAAGACGGGTTCCTTCATGTGTAACTGAGAAGTCACGAGGGGTCAGTTGATGTTGTGTGACATTCCTACGTTCTTCCTTTTTCATCAGGAGCCAGGAGCGATGTTCGCCACTCTTTACTGGGAGGAGCCGGACCGGTCCGGTCATGCGTTCGGTCCTGAAAACACCACAGCAATGACTAAAGCACTAAAGGAGGTGGAGTCATTTCCTCAAGTTTTGGTATTTGGCACTTGCACTGTTAAGCTAACAACAATAGACAAAAACAGACAATGATAAGAATTATTTTATCAAATACACTGCTATTGTTGGTTGCAAAACTGAGTTTTGCGTCCAAAAGTCCAGCTCTTCTCAACATCTTCGTCACTCTCCTTCAACCTGAAACTGATAGTTTGGGTTGGATGGTAGGAGCTTTGTCACATTGAGGTGTTTCAACAAGACAGAGAACAAATTTAAAAAGGTCTTGGAAGATGAGTCTCAAGCAATTTAAAGTGAACTCTTGCCAGAAGTAAAATGTCCATCCAGAATTATGCCAGAAGCTCGTGTTCTTGTGCCAAAGAACATTTATTCACATATTAATGGGGTTGTATGTATATATTTGAATTTGTTTGCATAATTATGTCAACTAAATCATTGGAAGCCTCCAAACGAATGACATTTATGCCAGTGATGTAAGTATATGCTTAAAATCTTAGCGGAAATAATAATGTTCTTTAGCTAATCTGGAACTTTCTTCCACCAGGTTGATGACAACGTCGGCCTGCTGATGTCTGAGCTGAAGAAGAGCGGCCTCTGGGGTCGCATCAACCTCATAGTGACCAGCGACCACGGTATGGCGCAGTGCTCAGCCGATCGCCTCATACGGTTGGACGACTGCCTCCACCCCGACAACTACACTCTGGTGGACGTGACGCCGGTCGCTGCTCTCATCCCCAAAAATGGTAACCAGGCTGACATGACGCAGCGTGAGGTTCAGTGCTCTCTCTCTTCTACAGCCTCCCTCTGTCTGTTTTCCTTCACAGACTCAGAGAGCGTCTTCGGCTTGCTGAATAAGTGCCATCCTCACATGACGGCGTACATGAAGAAATCCATCCCGGATAGGCTTCACTACCAGAACAATGTACGCATCCAGCCAATCTTACTAATCGCTGACGAAGGCTGGACCATAGTGAAGCGGGGAAAAAACCTACCGAGATGTAAGTGATAGAAACACTGTAGTAACTGTCAACAAGCATGCTGGTGTGTTCCACATAGTCACACTTTTTTTGAGGGTGTGATATAACTCCTGCCATGAACATGATGGAGTCTTCATGAAAGTTATCATAAAGTGTCTTTCAATAAATAATGACACAAGTTGCATTAAAAATCAAGTAAAAGAGGCAACTTTGGACTAAAAGTGTCATTATTTGCCAAATGACACTTCATGACAACAGTTTATGAAGAGTCCTTCATGATCATGGCAAGTTTTATGTCATGTTTTTGACAATGTAATATTAGTCTTATGCACACTCCGTCAAATAAAGTCTTACTGAAGAACCTAGTTCCTAGTCGGAAGCCATTTGTTGAAACAGGACAGCTCTCCATAACACGTATCCAAACTGCTTTAGTAATGGATAAATCAGGCTAACTTTAGGATTCCAGCCTTCAGCCAGTGAGGTCTGGATGTTACCTGACCCAGATGTGATTGGTACTCCCCTCCCGCAGTGGGTGATCATGGCTATGACAACTCTCTGCCAAGCATGCACCCTTTCCTGGCGGCGACGGGTCCCGGCTTCCATCAAGGTCTCCGGGTGAAGAGTTTGCAGAGCGTGGATGTGTACCCACTCATGTGCCGGCTGCTGTCGGTGCCGGCGCAGCCCAACAACGGCTCTTTGACCAGGGCTCGGTGTCTGCTGGCTGGCGAGACCTGCTGGGACATGGCTTTGGTGATCGGTCTGGTGGTGGGCGTCTTGGTGCTGCTCACTGTCATCACTGGTGAGTCTGAACAATCTTGGATCCTGGAAGGATTTTTGGCACAGATCAAGTCTGACAAAAAGCTAAGCGGACTCGTTTCTGTGCAGTTCTTTTCAGATGCATGGGCACTCGTCACAGCTCAGACCCCAGGCCCTTCCAGAGGTTGGACTTTCTTTGTGACGATGATGAACCTTTGATTCCATAAACCGCTAAGTGATCTGCTTGTGCTTCTCTTAGTGCACCTTGTTTTGTTTTCTCTTCACATGTTGTGTCACTTCATCACATAGAAGGAGAAGTCCTTCAGGTTTCCTTCATTTGGTATGAAGTGGTGTAAAAACTGCTGTTACAGTGGATACTGTTTATTTGATTTTGATAATGTGACAACATTATCAAAATCATTTATTTATCAGTTTACTCATGGAGGTACAAAAAAAAAGGTTTTCAGGTTACTTTTAATGTGAGCGCCATTGATTTGGGAATGTGAGTTCTATTTTTTGCCAGCAGAGGGAGCCAGTGGCTAATGCTTAACCCTATTTATTTATCATCCTAAAAGCTTCTTTGTTAAATTTTTTTTTCATTTGTTTTTTATTTTATTTTGAAAGCAGTTTCACTAAAAGTTAAGATATGTACAACTACTAATGGTCTTCCTTGCTGAAGTCAGATTTGCATAAGGTTGGGCTTCTTTGCAAGTTAGTCATAAAAGTAATACCAAAGAAGATTTTGGATTGTTTTGCAGGGATCAAAAACTGTGAATCGTTGCTGCTGAAAGCTCAAATACATGTGTTGATATTTTTATTTTCATATTAAACATATCTACTGGAAACCCTACAAAGAAAGTAGGCAATCACTATGCTCAGTTTCAATAATATAATTTCAAAATTGCAAAATATATGGATGAATAAGTCTTTGAAAGTGTAAGAAATAGAAGATGAGTGTTCTCTTTGTGCATTCCTGATTTTGGATTATGTTCCAGAAACCAATATATTGAATTTCTCACACCTTTTTTTCATGCTGTACAACTTGCATTGATCCTTAATCATATGTGTAGTTGTATAAATAATATAATATATAATATTTTTGTGGATTTCACCAATGTATGAAATAACAGAAGAAATGCATAAATGAGTTCATGTTTTGATCATTATTAGAATATTTTGTTACATTTAGTTTTAAATCCTTCTCCTTAATTATTAACAACCCTGGAAAAGATTAATACAAAACCTTAAAATACTTTATTCAATATTTTAAACCTTATCATTCCGACTAAATATGGGCAGGTGTATTTATTTTCTCCAATAGTTGATTGACATGTTTTCTTGTCTTTACTATGTTGAAGAGAGGAAAAGAGAAATGGGCCAGTACAAAACTTCAATATTATTCCCTAGAGATACAGAAAGTAATTGAGGATTATTTTTTTTAAAAATTATAAAATGCTTCAGTTAAATTTCTTTGTATTTATTTTACACCAGCGTTTTGTTCAAATTTATTCTAGTTCTTACTGAAAGTTTCTTTTTTCAAGAATGCAATGTGAGATGAGGCAACAGATAAAAATGTTTATTTATTTTCTGACTTTTTGTACATATTTACCAGGGCTGTCAATAATTAATTTTTACCATAGAAAATCCAAATATTCATATTTGATTTAATATATTTCAAAAGTGACTTTATGACAATCTTATATTTAAATGTCATTACAGAGCTTCACCTTTGCACAATTCTTGTTACTGCTTTTAGAAAGGAAAATCTTTTGGTATTATACCGGCCTGTAAAGAGATTTTTTTTTTTAATAAATGTGATTTATTACTGGAATCCTTATGTTGTGTTCAGTGAAAAAAGTGCAACACACGTTTGGAAAAATTAATTTATATCCCTTTGTATTTTTTTTCTCCATTGCAGTCACAACATTACAACGTAATAAAATGGCAAATATATAAAATCAAACTCAATACTGACAATAGATCTCTGTATTGTGTTCAAATTAGCTGTACATATCTTTTATCTCGTTTAAAATCATCTCTATGTAGTCATCTGTATTACTGTAAATCTTTGTCTCTTCACAGATAAATAGACTTTTATTTTCTGGAGGTATTGTAACAAAAATAACACATTTCCTAACGTTGGCCTCCTGGACCCATCAAAAAAATATTTTTCAACTCTTCCCCAGAATGCCGCAACACCATAGTGGACACAGAACAGACGGACTAAAACCAGAGACGCCATAATCTGTCCTCTTTCCGTCTCATTTGTGATTGGTCAGAAATATTTGGTGTAAATTAAAGGCAACCATAAACTATACAGTCTATGGATGCAACCCCTCCAACCTACCAAAGAAAAGAAAAAGAGAAATAAATTAGAATATTCCTGAATGGAGTTCTGATGTGCTGACGCAGGAGCAGTTTGAACACATTCGATGACGGTAGCCATCTTTTTTACACTGAATTCAGAAGAGGCCAGACAACCCACTCTTACATTGATATTTTCCAAGTGTCGAACTATGTATTAGCAGAGTGGAAAATAATCTCAATATGTCCACATATTTGGTATCATTCAGCCATTTATTTTGCTGAATCAGGCGGCTAAGTAAATGCTAAGCTCATTTTTTTCATTCAAATGGATTAATTGATTAATTAATCTGAAGATATTCTGATGGTTTTATATTAAGCTAATGTGTCAAACAGTATTTTTTGCTCAAATGTATAATTGTTTATCAGCTTAAGTTCAAATTTTTTTTAATCAAATTTGCTAACAGGCTATGTTGCTATTTGGAATCAAGCTAGCAGTTTTGTGCTAAGCTAAAGTTTCAAAGTGATTTTTTTTAAAGCTTGTGTCTAACTATTCCCCTCTCCATGTCAAATATATATTTACATATTTCATAACATTCAGCCAAGTTATATTGAGACATCCTGTACAGAGAGAAGCTAACAGTTGTATGCTAAGCTAATGTCTGAACCAAATGTTTACTCAGGGTTTAATTGTTCATTAGCTTGAGTTGAGATACTCTCCCCACAAATATGTGGACATATTTCACAACGTTCACACATGATTTGGTTATTTAGTTAACCTGTTTTTATTCATGCTAATGATTTTATGCTAATATTTCAAACAAATGTTTGACCTGACTTGGAAAACCTGCATTCAAACTGTGGCTGTCTGGCCATAACGTTTATTCACCTACAGTTCTAATATCAGTGTGTGCTTATACTAGAGACAACACAGATGGCACAGGTTCCTACGAAACCACTTGTTGAACTGTATTTTTTTTCCTACTTTGACCTTACATTCTGTATATTCTTTAAGAACATTTACCATCAGTTACACTTGAACCATTTACGCAAACTAATGGAACACTGATACAACTGAGGAGAGCTAGAAGTCGTTATTTACAATCCAAATGCCAACCACGAGAAAATAAATGCTACTTTTGCACATCAAATTTCTATAACATTAAAAAAGCATGACCCTGACAAAATTAAAAGCTTATGGTTTTACAGATACATCCAAGTGAACATCTAGTTTGACCCTGCTCTGTGTTGGTAGTACCAAACCTGAGTCAAACATCTGAAATCTTTTTCACACTATGATTGATTCTGAGAGTTTGTTTAAGAAAGTAAAAGGTTTCAGTGTCTGCTGGACTCAGGTCAGCTTAGTCTCTGGCCTTGAGGTCTGCAAATCCATAACGAATAATCAAACCTTCACAGCTACGGATCAAACATAAATACTTTGGCTGCAGAAATTAAGACAAAACAAAAATCATAGACCCTGATAGCAGAACACTTTTTGTGTTTAACCAAAAGAAGAAATGCTTGGTTAAATTTTCATAATATGACAGACATTCCTCAGTTGGGAGGCAGCATTCATCTCTCACCATTTGAAAGTTACTTTGCAGTTTTCCCCCTCCCAACAAATCAATCTTGACTAAAAACAACAACAACAATAATAAATTCATAAAATTGCTATGGAAATCAATTCAAAGTGTGGGGATGCATCATTATGGCTAATGCTCCAGGGTTTCCCCCAGTGTATTTTAAGCCTGGCGGGCCACCAGGCTTTACTTGTGCTCCACCAGGCAAAGCATTGATTATTTATTTAAGTCTTTTTAAAATGTTTGCATTTTTTAAGAGTTTATAGTTGGTGTTCAGGTATTAATCTTCCAATATTTCAATAACACATAAAATGAAGTGAAACTGATGCCTCTTTTCACTTTTACTGTTAAAACAATGAAATTACTCTTGGTCTTTATTGACTTAGGGAAAAACACTGTAATATATGAAATGCTGTCATCCATCTGAGGTAAATAAATGAAGGTAAAATAACACTGAAACAACAGTGATGTGGTGTTTTCTTAAAGGTTCTCTAAGCCCAGAGCCATTCTGCTTTTTGTAACTTTGCATAGCTGTTGATGAATAGCCATACAAGAAGTGACAAAGCACTGGCTGGATTCAAATATCTTACAAAGTGGGTCTAGCTAAGGCTGTGGTTTTTGTAGATGAAGAAGAAAATGTTTCACTTGTAGCATTGAAACTTGACTGCAGTCTCAGTATAGATTATTTTTTTAATGAAATGCAGTCGAGTTCCAATGAAGGCTTCCATGTACAAAAGAAACTGTACTATTTGGTTGTTTTGCACCTGATTTGGCTGCGGTTAGACCTGAAATCTGATTGGCTGGAGGGGCATCATGGAGGATAAGCCAGTGGGTCGGATGTGCAGGAGCTCAAAATTATTTCATAGTCTCTCAGTTAACGCGTTGCGTGTGCAGTCGGGTCCTCAAATCTACAACATTCATGCAAGAAATTCACAAGCACGGTTTGTGGAACTGACAGGAAAATGGCTGACCGTGCTCTGAAAATGGCACGTAGTCGGTTTGCAGTGCGGACACAGTGTGCTGTTTTCCACAACCACATCAGAGTGTACCAGAAAGGAGCACCACCTCGCCATGAGCCAGATATCATCAATGGAGCGGATAAGGCATTGTAGCTTTTTTTTTTTTAAATCACATACGCAAGGTGCTGCAGTTTCCACATACACTCCTTAGATTTACACATTTCAGTCAGAATGTAAAACAACATATTTAGCTAAAGTCTCGACTGCCACCACAACTATACAAAAATCTTTCTGGTTTACTCAATAGCACCATTAGAATATTGTTCCCAAATTATAAAGGGGTGAAGGAATATTCAACATTGTAGGTGTGCATGTGTGTGTGTTTGAGCACTGAGGTACATCCCATGTTGTTACCCTACTTTTCACAATGTGGCTGTGTTCATATCTCCCTGCTGCAGAGGAAAACCCTGTGTTTATGCAATTTTGATTGTATGTGTGTATGTGCGTGTGTACACTAAGCACATCTCCTTGCTTTGGAGACTTGCATAGCTTCTGCAAGACAGAAAGAGCAGTTGTTCACTTAGAAGGAGCCTTTGGCACAGCCTTGGCCGAGAAGTGAAGGCAGTACTCAAGTTGCACCATTTAATTCCAGGAGACAATCTGCCCTTATTGCACCGTAAGTACACGTGTTTCATGTTTGCACCATATGAAAAGGGATTAGCAGCCAATTGACTCTGTAGCTTAAGAGCATTTGCACCATATGAACAGCAACAAAGCTGCTTCTGTTGCACATCTGGATAGACTGAATCTCTTCGCCAGATTGTAGCAAATGATTCGTCTGTTTTGTTGATCAGGCTAGCACCAGGGAAAAATAATAAAAGTTGCATTATCCAGGCCTAAATCAATAGTTCAGCGTGTTTTTCGCTTTGCCATGAATATGTGCATATTTCGAAAAATGCTAATTTCGAAACTCGAATAAATCTAAATCTTGGGATGGAGACAGTTACATAAGGTTTGTCCTCCTGTCTCATTTGTGATATTGGTCTGAAATATTTGGCGTAAATCAGAGGCAACTATAGACTGTACATGAATATTTTTGCACAGTCAGTGAAGGCAACCTTTCCATCATACCCAAGAAAAATAAATACAAATAAACCAGAAGATTGTCATTCCTGCATTGTGTTCTAATGTTCACATACAGGAGCAGTTAAATCATTTTTCTAATGCTAATTTTTGAACCCAATTTTTGGTAGGAATTTCCAATTATTCTTTAACAGCTAGTACCATGCTTTTTTCAAAACTACATACAGGGGAACAATTTTACGTATGAACAGTTATAGGACAATTCAGATTAAAGCTAAAATATACCAACTTTTTAACTCAAACTGTAATATTTCTTTTTGTTTATAGTGGTAATGCAAATGTCAAAAATAAGCACATATTTGTTTTACCTGCTCTCCTGCTGATATGCAAATGCAAGGCGAAAAAGTTTTTTTTACTCTATACCCCATGGTGCGAGTGTGACCCCCCCTCCGACGGCGTGTCATTTCTCCACCGTTCCTGCAGACAGGGCCGTGATTGATGCATCGGCAACATTCGCTGTCGCCTGCCAATGTAACAGCTTGTATACCAGGGATAAACAAACCAAAAATAAATAAATAATGAGCCACACATCACAGCTCAGCCGTGGGTGGCTTTTGGAGGAGTTGATGCTGGACATGATGCACGAGAAAACAAGTCATCCAGGGGGGGTCGTGACGACTCAGGTCCACAACTGTTTCATATCAGCTTCTGTTGGCGTAGGAACGGCTGGCGTGAATAAGACATCGCAGAAACGCCGCGCGGGGATCAGGAATAATTAGTTGTGCGCTTGAACTCTGTTGTAAATTCCAGATCTGGGATTTTTGCTGTGGTCCAACACTGACATGAACCGATTTACTGAGTTTTAGCACTTTTTGACGGTCTGAGTAAAGTATTAAAGCCTCCCACAACCTTTGTTAGACGGTTGGGTAACACATGCTCAGCATATAATGTTGCCTCGTATCTATTTCTCTGTTTTGATGCTTCTTTCTTGACTGGAATTAAATATAGTGGATCTGATGCGTTTATAATGACTGTATTTCTTTACGTAATATACAAGCAGTATTGTTTAGTTCAAAATATTTAGGTTTATCTGCTGTATTCAGAAAATATATCTTAAATTAGCACAACAAAGTCAATGAAGACAGCGATGAAGGCAAAAGAATAAATTTCTCCTGCTCCTGACAAGAATATAGCAGGTCTTAGTTAAATCTTTTTGAATTAAAATGTTATTTTTGTTGTTTTACATCAATTTGTTGAACCAAACTAAGCTTATATTATATTTTTGTTGTTCTGACTCTTGATGATCTGATAGATGCTGAACAGCTAAAACGTAACATGAGACATTTGTTTGCAAGTTTGTGATGTTAAAACAGTTTTCTGTCTCTTTTGCACTTCCCTGGTAACCTTCATCGCTCTTTAAGCTCTTTGTCCAGCCACAAAGTGACATTACATTAAAAATATCTGCTCTGTACAAAGAAAATATTTACACAACCCTTTGACTAGACTAACCACATATTGACGATCCCATTTATTTTTTTTAAGTGACAATTTTTTCTCTCTTTTGTGTCACTCAATGCGTGATGATCGCAACATAAAAGACGCGGTCGGGCGCTACTGTAGAAATGTGCTTGTTTCTATTTTTAATTTTTTTTCTGTCTCCGTAGCAGAGAATGGAAGGGAGGTTCATAAAAGTGGAGAGAGAAAGAAGGAGATGGACTGAAGCAGCTTGCTGAGTCATGGCCACAGGACTTACAAGAAGTGTGTGTGAGTGTGTGTGTGCTTAAAAGTGAGATTGCTTCAGTGTGCATGTGCTTACATCAAGTGAGACCTTTTGCTCCCTTTGTCTTCTCTAAGTTTGAACATCCACATGTAGATTTTCTGGTGCTGTATGTGCTCAGGTGTACCTCTGTATGTGTGCGTGTCAGAGTGAAGACTCGTACTGCAGTAGTTCGTACAGTAGCGGCCCGTCGCGGTAGCGGATGCCCACGGCAGCTGGCGTTATGTACTGCAGGATGTTTATAGTCCTCCGCAGGCGCCTGTCTACGTAGTGAGCGTCCCAGGCTGGGTAGCGCTTCCTGGGCATGTCGATTTTTATCAATGGGCCTTCGGGCTTGGAGGTCGGGGGGGCGGACCTCACCTGGAAGACAGGAAGGCACGACTCGGCCACGTCCTCTTCCGTCTGCGACTTGGCCATGTGTGCTGGGGTGGGCGGGGCAGTGGGCGGGGCCGACGGGGGGAGCGGCAGACCCCAGAGCAGCTGGGCGCAGCAGGAGGAGGCGGGGCTAGGCTGGAGGTGGGCGGTGGCTGGGTGCAGGAAGCCGTAGTACAGGAACATGACGAGGACGCCCCCGGCGAACGTCAGGTAGACGCTGCAGAGGGCGGGGACGGCGTATGAGTCGGTCAGCACCGGATCTCGATAGGCATACCTGCAGCAGAGAAGAGTTGTGGGTTTAAACTGCATGTTAATACTAAGCTTACACTAACAGCCACCCCAAGGCATGAGCAAGCTGAGCCGCTGCTTATGCAGCTTATGGCCTTCAAACCATCAAGGCTCGAATCTTAACACACACCAAATGCCAAATATTTTTAAGAATAATGGAATGATGGATTTATCGATAGATCGAAAGCTCAGATCATCTAAGTGACAGCTGCAGTAGTACTTCGTGTGGCAGTTGCTGCTGCTGCCATTGGTAGGTGTTGCTGCCATGATTTGCGCTTGCTGTCTGTCACTTGATCTGTCAAATCAAATTTAACAGCATTGTTAATATGCAACCACGTTGCCTGAAGCTGCCACAGCTTAGTAGCTTCAGCTTCTGGCTTTTGTGGCAGATTGAATATTGGATATGAATAAGTTCACACACAAAAAAAAACTCGTCCAAGCATTTTTGAACAATTCAGGTTAAAGAAAGCTGAACAGCATATAATATCCAGTACATGGTGTAATCAAAACTCTTCATGATTTCATATAAGCAGTGTAGATTTCATCCATAGCTCACCACAGGCCCGTCAGGATGGTGTTCTCGGCCAACACCACGATGTAGTACGCAATCATCCGGTACCGCGTCCGTCCCTCTTTCACGTTGAACCAGCAGAAGATGTAGACAATGCCAACCACCATGTTGAAGAGCACCTCCTCCCACTTCGACATGCAGAAGTCGGTACCACCGTGCACCACCCAGAAGGCCATGGCGCACCAGTGCAACACCACAAAGATGCCGAAGTAGATGTGAAAGAGGGAGGCGAAGAGGGCGAGCGAGAGGACGCGGGAGGAGATGGTGAAGAGGCGCCAGCAGAGGTGGAGCAGCGCGCCGCGGTAGCTCATGCTGCGCTGGTCGTCCCGGGAGTCGCGCAGCAGCTTGTGGTAGGAGGCCAGAACCCAGGCCAGGGAGAGGAGGGAGGCAAGAGAGGAGACGCCTGAGGAGACAGAGGAGGATTATGGAACAGAGACAAACACATCCTCGCAGTTTCAGGAGGCGTTAATACAGTTGGACATATAATTTAATAGATGTGACACGACGGAATGAAGTTATTTTTATTGTTCATCCGCCCCCCCTGTGTGATAGTGACGTATTTGCATTAAAGTGAAAAGCGTTCCAAAAATCTTCAAAGACTGATAGGGATGAATAATCCCAGTGGGTGGGCCAATGGATGATGCACATCCTGGATGATTAAGGAAGAGGAGGGAAGATGACACTTTCCTCACCAGAATACCTGGACAAACATCCAGCACCATCTGCAGCCACACATTACTGTGCACAATGTGTGCAAATTTGCTAATTACTGCCTGTGCAGCTGTTGGCTAACAAGCGCTTTATTGTCACCCAAACATGCAGTTAATGCCACAGACTGTTTGGTCGCTCCACCTACACTGCAGGGTCTCGGCTCGGTTCTCCTGGATCATGATGCAGAGCTGCAGCACCAGCTGCGGCGCAGACTCCAGGAATGTCTCCAGCAAGCGCAGCATGTTGACATCGGCGTACTCGAACATCATGGCCCAGTACCACCGCCGCTGGTGCTCCTTCTGCCGCCGCGACATCACCCCCAGGTAGAGGGTCCGGATGTACCTGCGGGTGACATCGGAAACCAGTCAGATCTACTGGGAGGACAAGAAAGGAGGAGAGGAGAGGAGGAGAGGGGCCGGTCGCTTGAATTAGAACCAGGACCATCTGTGCACGGCCAGGGTGAGCAGCTTCACTATTTTCCGACATCTTTCTAGACAAAACAATTGACTAATCGGGAGTCTAATCAGCAGATGACTCAAGATTGAGTGAGCTACTACAAATAGTTGAGTGACAGGAAAAAAATGGCTTCAGTACAAATTAAAATCTGCTGGTCAATATATGCTGACTTGATTTTTGGTCGGCATTAGTGACAAGTGCAAATATGACTGGGCGATATGTCAATTTGATCAATTAATCTAATTCTTGGTTTTTGAAGATTGAACTTTTGGGTAGTTGGGATTTCCAACCTGCCATCTTGTTTGACAAGCAACTTCTATTTATCAATCAAGTCAATTCCACAAATATTAGAGCTATTTAAAAGAAATTTTAATTTGCAAAAGTAAAGTCATAATATTACAAGAGTAATAGGAGCATAAAGTCGCTGTGTTAGAAGAATGAAGTAGTAATTTTAGGAGAACTCCAACACAAAAATAACCAAAAATGGACATGTGAAGTTATATTTTGGTATCGGATTTACAAATAAGAAAATACTGAATCTTTTAATACATCAGCAGCAGGACTCTGAAATGACTGAGCAGAAATATATGTACATTTTGATGAAAGAATCACATGGTGCAGATCTTGATAACTCTATTGAAGTTTAATTCTCAATAATACATTTTCCTACTAATTGTAAGATGTTCTTTTGGTTCTTATTTAGCTTAACTTATGCTTACATTCCTAGTGCTGTGACATAGAAGTAATGATTAAAATAAAAGCCACTTTTTGAAACCGTTTCCTGTTAGTTGTAGCTTCTTTTCTAGAAAGGAAGTTGAGAAAAAATCGATTAAAATCAAAAATTGGATCTAGTTTAAACAAAAGGTCAGGTTTTATTTTGAAGCCATATCACCCAGGCATAGTACTGTAGCGCCTTTCTGCATTATGCATGCTATTGTAAGCACAGCTATTACCCCTCTGCGGTTGGAAATACATAGTAGAAGCTTTATATGACATAAATAATGCAGCATCCACACTCCCAACAACAAACTTACCAGAGTTTTGAAGCAATTTAGAGCAACACTGATTGTTTTTGCTCTAATGTGACCCATGGATTCAGTTCTGCTCAGACCTTTTCATACATGAATTATTGTTGTGTTTTATGGTCAGATGGGAGAAATAGTGAACTTCCAACTGCGACTGTGTCCAAATGCTTTCTGTCCTTGACTGAATGAGAAGGATATGAGGGAAAACAGGAAGTCTTCTCTGTAATTCTCAGGTGAATACTGACTGGCAGGCGAATTCGATTAGCTCTGACATGAGAGGATGTGCTTCTAAATTATCTGACTAGATCCTCCACCCTACCCCCACCACTCTCCCTTCCTCCTCTTGATCTCTGTTTCTTTACCCTCCCGCCATTCTCACTCCCCTCTCCATCTCTGAAGCAATCTGTCTCAATCAGGCCATTCCATTTCCTTCCTTTTTTCCTTCCATGCTGCGGTTTGTGTGACGGTTTTAACCCCACAACGCAAAGCAGAGAAGAAGCTGGACGTAAACACACAGAAACTCTACCTTTTTTCTGCAGCTGGGCACCATTAGAGGGATTTATAGGCTGCTACTACTTTGCAACAGAGAGAGACATGTCTGTGTGTCTTCCACGTTGGTCCCCTGACAGTGTTGTTAGCACCTCAATTAACACCTAAGCATGTCCTACTGTGTGTGCGTGTGTCAGATGGGGAGGGGAGGGAGATAAATAGTGAGCATGAGAGAGAGAGGAGTTGCCAGAAGCGCAGATGCTTTTCCTCTTTGTACTCTCCATGCACGCTGACACTCGTGGGGAAGAGCCGTGACATCGTTTTTCCACTCGTCACACACGCTGATACACATGAATGCATTCGCATACGGACGGAAACAAAGAGTTCTGACCTCTTTGGTGCGTAGTTGCTGGACACTGCCTGAAATGTTTCCCATGTTTTGTCAATACGACTACAGACTTTGATGCATTTGCATCCAATCAGATTAATTACGTAGCAAAAGCTGAGTCAGGTTGGATGGAAAGCACATGTGAAAATCGGTTTTCTACAAATTCTCAACTGGATTTGGGTCTGAACTTTGACTAGGCCTTTCTTACACATAAATATGCTTAGATTGAACCACTCTAGGGACAGGTGTTCTTTTAGAGTCTAGATGTTTGTTCCCCGCAAGTTAACAGGATTAATGAAGTTGCAAGGCACTGATATACTGGAAATGGATTCAGCACCATGGAGAGCGCCAGCTTCAAAGTTTCATTTGCAGTAAACTAAGCAGTTTCATTTGACTTTATCATGACTCCAATCAGGTTCTGTGACTCTGGACACTGTCTATCAGTTTCCCTCCTTGAAGCAAACAGAAGTGAAGAGAGGCTCAGGTTTTTTCTCACCTCCACACCTGTCCCAGCTGGAGGATGTGTATGGTGGCCTGCCACAGCCAGATGGTGGCCAGCTGCAGGCGGTCCTTTCCGGGATACAGGCAGCCCTCAACCACCGTCCCCCTCTTAGTAAGCCCCTCCACCTCTCCCAGCCCCCCGCCGGTGTAGTCCTGCACGAACCAGCGGAAACTCAGAATCTGGACCAGCACGGACGGCACCAGCACGAAGAAAAGCGTCAGGCCGAACCAGAGGTAGTTCTGCCTGTGGTAGTAGTCCGCCGCCAGGCACAGGTCCGTGCCAACGTCCCAGAAGAAGACGAGCAGGGCGAGGATGATCCAGAGGCAGTCCAGCCACAGCTGCTCCCGGGGAGGGCAGTGGGTCTCCCGGATGCCGACCCCTCCGACCGGCTGGCCCCCGCCGAGCAGGGAGCCCAGGCAGGCGGAGCGGCAGCCCCAGTAGCAGGCGGAGGAGCGGCAGCACTGGCAGATGTGGATTGCGGCGGAGTCCAGCGGCTCCTCGGCGTCAACGTCGTACAGCTGGGCGAAGCCGCTGCCGCCGCCGCCGCAGCCGACACCAGCTTTACCGCCGTCCGACTTCGCGGCCATGTTCCCCTTCCCGCTTCTGCCCTCCTGTGAAACGCACGACAACCGCACCGTGGTGACTGCTCGCGGGGCGCGGACACCACGTCACTTCCCAGGTACCTCCTGTCCTCTTCCCTCTTGCGCCGCGGCGACTGCTGTGTCTCTTTCTCGCCGGGGGCGCGAGGAGCCATCAGAGCCGGCGGCCGCGCGAGGGCGGCTCCCCTTCTTCTTGCTTCCCTGCGCGGGACACCGCCCCCGGGCGTTTGCGTGCGGCAGCGGCGGAATCTGGTTCTCTCCTACTCCAGCAACCCCGCATCATCTCCTCCTGCGCGCGCGGTCATCCAGGGCGATGTGAGGTTATGACGTAATGCATCTCCCGCTGTTCTTAAGACGCGCGCGCGTTAATGAAGGTGACGTGTGTGCGTGACAGCCCACCGGACACCCGACTTTTGCTTCGTCCACTAACCCGAAGTCCTGCTTCTCACGCCGCCCGCGTTCAGCCGCTGCCGGGAACCTGCAGCGGCTCCACTGCCCGCTCCTCTGCTTTCCGCAGCTCCAGCCCCTCTGCAGCTCCGGTTTCCCCCCTACTGTTCACTTTCCCTCACTCACGCACTCTCACTACGCCCCCTGCTGGGTGGAACAACTTTAACACCATGCGCACATCTGTACATGGCGACTTTTTGCGCTGAATGGGAACAGAATGTAATCAACAGCAAGACATATGGAGAACATTCCGCTCCAGGTTTGTTGCCATACTCCAGGTTATAATTGCTGTGTAATCCACACCCTGATCATCCTTGACATACTTTGATGTTTCCTGCTGAGCAGCCAGGAATCAGAGGCTTTTGGATTTAGAGGAGAACTGAGTGTGCTGAGAAGAAGAGTGGAAGGATTGAGAATGAGGACATGGTTAAAGGAGGAATCAGAAATGTTGGTGTTGCATGGACAGAATCAGGGTAAAAACGGAAGTTAAACTGCATGAATCAAGGTTTAAGGGAAAATAAAGGGCAGATGAGGGGAATTAAGTATATCAGTCCCAAACCCATGATAAAGGAAAACCAAAATGCCTGTTGGAGAGATTTACTTGTGTTTCTTTAAAATCAGAAGCTCGTTTTCATGCAATCTCTTGCACTTTTTTGCCGTCCACTGGAGATTAGCCCTTGTTGTCATGACAACCACAGCTGGAGGACATGGGAGAAGGAGTACAGCTGTTAGCTGCTGCGGCTTGGGATTTTCTGCCCCTGACATTTAGACTGAAGCATAGCTGGGATGTTTCATTTGATTTTATGCGAGTTTGTAAATTTTCATGCCTGATTTTTCGAACCTCTACAAAAGAAAAAGCGTGTAAAGAAAAGGCAGGCTTGCTGCAGCTCCACTACACAATATTTCTGCAAATGAATTAGTAAAATCGCCAGAGGGCTTGAGATCCAGCGTTGTGATTATTTAGTTCTGCAGCAGCTAAATCAGTTAACCTCACATTACAAGACGGAGCCTCCGATTAAGAACCGTTTCCATCTTTAGGACTTGTCATGTAAGCAGAAGAATGTCTACTGAAGTTTACTGACATGTGAAAAGGCAGGAGCTGCTCATGTGACAGCTGAGCAGCTACACATGCACTAATGATGCACAGCTTTGATGGAAAAGCAGGACGCATAATGAGAGCAAACTGGGTTGTTCTGGATGTAGCCAAGGCTCACTCTGTTGAAGCTAACGCAAGCGCAGAAGGGCTGACGGCAGGGAAGAACGCTGGCAGCATCCAGCCTATAAAAAATGACTAAAAAAATATTCAGGTCCAGTTAGCAATGAAAATATAATGCAATCAAACCACTAAATAACACTTGGTACAGATGAGATGCAGATCCACACTGTTGTTTGTGTATTTTAGTTATAAAATCACTGCAAAGATGTGAAGTTTCTTGTACTTGTGCCAAAATAATAAACAAATCAGTGAAGGGGATAAGAAGGAAGAATTAAAACTGCTAAAGAGAAGGTTTCTAAAGGTAGCTTATTTGTTTTTATTGTGATATTGCAACCCAGTTATTCACATCCAGATGCATATGTTTGTCAGCATTTTTGAAGGCATAGCTGATTTAAATGATTGAATGCTAACTCTTAAAATATCACTTGCACATTAAAGTTTAAGTATTCACACACGATAAGAAGAGCTGTTGTGAGTTTGTGAACATTTAGAATATCCCATAAAAACTTATCTTTTTTCCTTAGTGAACAGAATGGATTTATTGTTGGGATAATTTTTAAATTTTTGGGGGTTTTGTTTAGATAATTCAGAAGAGATCTTTCCAGTTTGCATGAATTGCTAAGGTCACTTTTATTTAGTGACACAAAGATTATCCAAGAGGAGAGAGCTTTACTTATTGATGGACGGCTTTAAAAAAAAAAAAGCGTTACACGGATTTTTAATTAATCTTCTCAAGACGCAAAAAAGACAAACTGCATTGTGAGAAAGTTAATTGTGTTTGCCGGCAGAGGCACAATGAAAAACACTCTCAGCTGTGTCTCTATTATGCATCGGTTCAGACATTGTTCTCTGCTGCTGCATCATTTAGGGGGAACGCCATGTTCAGTTTCTGGGGAATGAAGCAAGGCAGGCAGAACATAGGGATGCAGAAGAAGAAGAAAGAGAGCAAGGTCTGGTTTAAGTTGTCACTGTGATTCACTCACAAAAAATAACAAAAAATCTGAATTTGGACTGCAAACCTGAAAATGTTAGAGGTTCTAATCTGCAATGAAATAGATCTGATGAAAACATATTCATGTGTTAGGATGGTCCAGTCAAAGTAAAGTCAATTGAACATGTAAGTCTCGGGTCAGACAGAACTTGAGCTTGAGCTCTTTTGTGACAAACACACCATTGTTTGGCATAATAAGTAAGAACAGCGCACAAATTTGAGCAGAAATTTAATAAAAGTTAACAAATTAGAATCTAAAGACATTAAATTTTGACCAACAGAACCTGGAAAGCAACTTAAATCTAAATTTAAAACGCCATGCAGGACAAAAGCAAATGTATTCACAAAATGGAAAATAAGAAAAAGTCCCAACGATCATAAAATTACAACAATAAGGAGTAATTTAGAGATTTAAAACTGTCTTTAAGTGTTTAAGCTTGTTGCAAAGAACAGACAATAACGGTGAAAAAGTCCTGCCTGGTTTATCACACAACCCACATGCACAGCTCTGCTGTCGGCTTGACTCAGAAAGGTTAACACCAAAGTGTTCCTCAGATGTCAGATATAATTAATAATCAGCGTCGGCTAGTAATGAGTAATAATGCTAAAGCATCTCCATGGAGCTCCAGGCCTCCTGAGGAGTCGTGTTTATTGAAAAAGATGGCACATGTTGTGCAGCGTGAAGCAAAAAATAAAGAAAAAAAATTGTTGGTCTTTTCTTGGGAAAAAAACCCAAATGTGGTTGTTGTGTCAGCGATTAGCCGGCAGCTCTGAGAGAGAGACGGTGGTGGGAGTTCGGGGGAGTGATGAAACGTATCAGACTCCACAATCTGCTGTGGTGTAAATATTTTCTCTCTGCCTGGGAATCAGTTGGATCTGCGCTGCTCCTGCAGTCAAGAATTTTTTATTTTTTATTTTTACATCCACAGACGCCCCTGGAAACAACATGGGGAAAGAGTCAAAAATAAATTCAGCTTTTATTGCAAAATGTATGAACTTTACAGATTTTATTTTTACCTTCCTCTTCCTCTTCACTGTGTAACTGTCCTCCCTCAAACCTGGCTTTAACTTTTTGGTTCTTTAATTAAATTTTCACGACTTTTTACTCCAACTTTAGTCCTCCTGTTAATGTGTGTGTGTGTTACTTCACCTCCTGTGTCTCAAAGGTCCATTAGTGAACCTTGTTACCTCAGACAGAAGTAACTTACCCTTTAAGCCTCTAAACAAACTGAAACTGACAGGTTTTGTGATTTTAGAAGAGAAAGGACAGACATGGCAGCTGTGGCAAAACCAGACAGAATCAATGCTTTTTTTGCAACTCAGGATTGGGAAGTAAGTATAGAGTTAGTGTCCAAAGTCTAACACCGGACAGGAATGTAGAGGGAAAGGAAACAGTGAGTGTTTGGCGGGGTAAAAGAGGAAGTTTGTTAGCTTTATGTAGCTTTAGGGTTTTATAGCTACGTTACAAAGATAAATTTATCCAATGTTGGCTTTTTCCTGTTGTAAAAAGTGAATTTTGGTGTCTTTTTAATAGCAAATATACAAGATTTGGACAGTATTGTGAGCTGCAGCTTAAAGTGAAAGAAAGAGGCAAAATTGAAAGTGAAACTAAAATAATTCAGAAGAAAGTGGTTCTATTAAGCTGGTTTAGAAGATTCATTTTATTTTTAAGTCGCTACAAAGATCAGCTGAAAATTAGCAAAAGCAATAAAAAGAAACGTAACTTTTTTTTAGGACCTTATTAGTCTGAACAGGCCTTAAAGGGTCATTTCTGTGCCAGTCTGCAGATCATGAGCCTTCCCTTCCTGTGTCGGAGAAGTCCAACCCGCTGACGCGCCACATAGACAGAGCTTCAGCCTCCAGCGTCGTGAAGATGCTGCAGGCCTGCGATGCCCAGATGTTTCAGGAAGAGTCCCAAACAGAGTATCAGGTACAGGAACTCAACTGGTTGGTGGGAAAATAATGAAAGTAATGAGACTGAATTTTCTCCCCAGAGACTTTTGAGCGGGGAAATTGTGAAAACCTTAGTGGAGGTGGCCGAGAGAGTGCGGCTCATTCTTAAGGTATCCGGTTTGGGGGATGTGAGCTCTCAGAATTAAACTCACTAAGATTCCAGACTTTTAGTGTTTTTTTTATGTTGATCAGGATCCTCGGGACAGCCTCGTCATTCTGAGTGGTTGTGGCACTTCTGGCCGACTTGGATTCCTCCTGGCGGTAAAAGATTTAATCACCTGAAAAACAAGGAGCTATATTTCATACTTTTAAAGTCGTGTTTCTGTTGTTAGTCAGGATTTAACAGAGAGCTGCAGCGGTTGAACTACACCCCCATTTGTTCGTACGTCATTGCAGG